GGAGGGGAAAGACCAGAAGAGAGATAGCACTGCACCGCGTGATGAAATTCACCTTGTTGGAGCTTGGGCTTCCTGGGCAGCTCTTGCCTTGCACCAGCAGGCCAGCCTCTCTGCGCTGGGACAGCAGCCTACTCTACTCATTCACTAGGGGACTCCTGCCTCCGTCACTAGTACCCCATCTCCTCTCACTATACACCTGCTCTCTGTGTGGCTGGCCCATTCCCTCTAGAACTGCTCCTGCACAACCCGGGGCCCCAGTGGCCTTAGTCATGGAGCCAGGTGCCTTGCATGGCCCCTTCTCCAGCCTGAGCAGCTATAGCTCTTCCTTTTCTCTTTGTTCCCAGGGCTTCCTTTCCCTTTCTGCCCCCCGCCCTGCTGCTTTCTCTTTCTTTGCTCCCTCCTGCATTGACACTTTCTTCCTTGGCAAACTTTGTGGTCTTCCAGTCCACAGCATCCCTGTGACCCACTCCCAAACTCAGTTCTCACCTGAACTTCCTCCCGAGCGTAAATCCCACATCTCCACCACCTGCTCACCAACCCCTCCCAAGAGCTGTGTTGGTGGCTCCATTTGAGGACAAAGTAACCGAACTCATTCAAGCAGAGTCCTGCTTCAATTGTTAGCTCCACTATGAGCCCAGTCTGTGCCTGAAATCTCAGCCTCCCAATTCTCCTAGTCCTGGACCTCAGATATGATGGACTGTTCTGCTCAGAAGTCTCCGTGGCTGCCCACGGGGTGCAGAATGAAGGCCAAGCAGCATAGCATAGCATTGACTCTGGCGCTCCAATCCCCCTTCTGTCCTTTTGTCTGCCTGAACCCAGGGCCTCAGGATGCTCCCACTGAGCTGCAGCCCAGCTTCTCCAATCCAGTTCCCAGCACGCTGCTGCTGCTGCTGCTTCCTGCACGAGCCCTGACGTCACTTCCTGACTTGTTCATGCAGCTGCTCCCTCCCTGGCCTGCTGTCTGCCTCCCTGGGTGCCCACACCAGGCAGGCCTGGTTCAGACTCAGACATCGCCTGCACCGTGGCGTTCCCTGATTTCCTCAGCTGAAACTGGTATGCGCACCTACTTTGCATTATAGCTTTTTTTTTTTCTTGTACCGGGGCTCAAACTCAAGATCTTGCGCTTGTGAGGCAGGCAGCAGAACCACTGAGCTAAATTCCCAGCCCTAACTTTTTTTTCCTGAACTGGGGATCAAACCCAGGGTCACACTGACCTATATCCCCTGACCCTTTTGATTTTTTTATTTTTTTAAGTTTGAGACAGGCAACTCTCTTGCTAAGTCACAAGTTGCCCAGGCTGAGCTCGAACATTTGATCCCCCTGCCTCAGCCTTCCAGAGTGCTAGGATTACAGGGGTGCGCCACCATACCCAGCTGCATGACAATGTTTTATCTGTCGTCTCCAAGAGGACAAGATCCACGACTGATTCATCTCAGCACCCCTGAGGCCCTCCCTCCACTCACAGTACCCGCCTAGGAGGGGTTTGAAGAGGAACCAGCTTAAGAGTGAGTAGAAGGGTGCAGAACAGGCGAATGCGCAAAATCGTCAAGTAATGTGAGTCTATAAAGGAAATTAGGGTGGGGGTGAAGCCAGGGCCAGCCCATGAGTGTTCTGGGCAAGCGGAGTCCCACAGGGAGAGGGGAGTTCTTTCCGTGGTCTGTAGGACAGGTACCTTCGTACATTCCGTGGCGAGCAACGTGGGTTTTCCTCTCGAAGGTTGAGCCTGGCGAGTTGGGTAGGGTGGAGGCGGGGGAGTGAGCCCTCCGGTAACTGGAGGTGGACGTGTTGCCTCGCAAGCTTCCACCTGCAAGGGGTGGGAGGTAGAGCCCTGGGGCACTGACACCCGGTCAGTGTAACCAGGCACCTCAGGAAGCTGTTGCGAAGGGAGGCCCTGAGGGACGCAGTGACAGAGCACACACATGATAGGGGCTTTCCCAAGGGCCGGTGCTGAGTCACAGACCCCTGCTTGGCTGGGCCAGAATATGACCAGTGGCCCCCAACAGGGAGGATAGGACTCTCGGCCAGCTTACTCCTTCTCACACCCTGGGTTTTCCTTGTGGCCTCGGTGTGAGGGATTATGTGTGTGCTCTTGACTTCATATTATTTTCCCTTGCTTTGCTCTGTTTTGCTTTTGATTGGAGGAGTATCCCATGGGCAGCAGTGGGTCTGTGTGTGCTGTGGGGTTACAGGTTTTCAGAGTCTCCAAGCGGAGAAACCCGATTACTAGCTTGCTTTTGTTGTTAACTCACATGGTCAACCTTAACAAGCACACCCCTTCCTAAAAGACCAGGCTTGGGGGCAGGCAGCTTCCTACCCACACAGGTCTTTTACATCAGGGACTGAGTGAATATAAGCAGGGTTCAAATGCTGATGACCAAAGCCCCACCCTCCCCGGGCCATGCATCAGCCAGTGGTCCCCAAGCTTTGTGGCATCAGGGCTCTGGTTTCCGGGAAGACAACTTTTCCACAGATAGCAGGGTAGGGGGAGTTTGGGAGCAGCTTCTCATCAGGAGCCCGAAGCCTAGACCCCTCACACACCCAGTTCACACTGGGCTCACCCTCCCATGAGATCCTAATGCTGTGCTGATAGGAAGAGCGTGGCAGGGACCCTGCATGCCCACTGCTCGCCCCTACAGATGGGGACCCCAGTTTAGCTAACTACTGGGGCGTGTGGAATCGAAGACCAGCATCTGCACAGGTGCCTCGCCTGCACTGGCTCGGGATCACATGTGCCACCCTTCCTGCCCCAGCCTCGCCCTGGTGAGTACTCACTGGAGTTTATGTAACTGCTGCTGCCGTGGCTCAGGCTCTGCTTCTCCAGCCGGCCCCCTCCACCAAGAGAGCCCGTTTTGGCATAGCCATTGCTGGTCCCTCCTTCTGCCCAAACCAAGAAACAGGTGACAGTTCAGGGTGGGGCCGGGTCGCACCATCCCGTCGCCCTCTGGCTTCTCACCCGGCCCTCCTGGCTGGAGTCCTGCTCCCACTGGTTGGGGAGCTTGTCTGAGATGCAGATATTATACTGATCTAAAGGACGCCGGCAAGTTTCTCACTAGGAAAGTGAATGCTAGACAAAGACGCGGAGTGACAAAAAGCTCCTTGAACAGAGGCCCCTGGACCGGGCCCAGAGAAGTTGGAGGGATGTGTGGCACCTCTGGGTCCCACGGGCCGTCCCCCAGCCCACCACCAGGCTTCCTGAGAGGTGCGGGTGATTTGGGGAACTTGAAGATTCATTTCAGAACCTGCTAAGCCCGTGAAATGGCTCTGCGCTCGGGGTGGGTAGGATTTTGATATGTTAGTGTTTAGGAGAGCAAATCAAGACAGAAGGCAGTTTTGTGGGTTCTGGGGCTGTGGAGAGGGGCAGGGGAGAAGAAGGTCCAGTGACTCTAATGTCCGGAGGCTCTTTATGGCAGGATGGAAATGCTCTAACATTAGACTCTGTAACTACACTAATCACCCAAGGGTCACACACTTGAAAAGCTACACTCTGTGGTATATAGTTAACTTCAGTATAACTGTTAAAGAAAAATCAAACGTTTTGGATTTGCTCACTTGGGAGCGACCTCCCATGGACAAAAGTATGGTGTGGGGTCTTTACAGGCGGCCTACGGGAGAGGCATTCACTTACTTGGTGGTAAGGATGTAAGTCTTGTAGTTACCGTTTCAGTGATAACTGAAAAGGACAAAAAGAGAGAGGAGAGCTTAGGGAATGTAGGGAGACCTCTGTATTTGGACAAGGCCTGCTATCTGTCAGGTTGAGTGTGCAAAGTTAAATTCAGCATAGGCTTTGTGTACTTGTGCTATACAGTGCGCGATCTGACCGTGTACCTGAAAACGAGCAGTAAGGGGCCTGCAGCATAAGTCTAGCTCTTTGGAGCCAAAAGCAGTTAAGCCCGATTTGACAGCTGTGTTGAATTGGCATCAGGCTCTCTCACCGACAGCTGGGTCCTGAGTTGGACTCTAAAGGTATCTCAGGTGACACCACCTTTATGCCAAATTCCTTCCCAAAGGTCCTGTCAGCTGGGACCAACACCTCAGCTGTTTCCAGGTCATTGCGATTCATCCCGAAGTCTCCAGGGCCAGCATGAGTGTGGAAGGCAGAGAAAGGAAGAGGCTCGGTGCTTAGTGAGATCAGTGGTCCATGAACCTCAAAGGCAGACTGGAGGACCAGTCCCCTTTGACCCCTACCATGGAGACCCTCTGGCCCCAGGGACGGGGAGTAATGAAGGCACTGCGGCTTCAGGGGCTTGAGATGACACCATTGTACGTGTGTGTGTGTGTGTGTACATGCGGATGGGTTGAGGCGGTGAAAGGAGAGAAGGGTGGAAGATAGTGTGGGATCATTTTGAGCCACCGCAAGCCACACTGTTGGTCTGCTCCAGCCTGCACCTCCTCCTTTACCCCATGTTTCCCTAATTAGTTTGGTTTTCCTACTAAGAATGTAGCAGGCATAGTATTCAATGCATAAAGGGAAATGAAAACTTTGTCAGAGGACAGTGGCATTTAAAGCCCTCGTGATACAGCCTTTTGCAATTCTTTGACACATAAAAAATAAATTATTTCCTAACCTGAACTTCCAAATCTGAGAAGCCAGTGTTTATTTTTTTTAATTAGAAATAAGTGAAAGTCACAGAATAAGTAAAAAAGCTCCCTAATTTTGAGTTTTTAGGTGTAGAGATTAAATGTGTCTGACTTTATCCCTTGGGAAGTTTCAGAAAATAAATGTGTCCTTTTTCATATGTAGTGTAGATTTTGACTGTAATGTTATTCCATGCAAGAACTAGGATATCATACTTTCAGATTTCTGTTATTCTCTATCCCTAAGAAGAGAAATTGTTAAATGAACTGTGGTGATTGTATTCAACAAAATATTCTGCAGCTATTAAAAATGCTGGTTATGAAAACTATAAGAAGCACCCCCCCCACCCCAGTACTGAGGATCAGACCAAGGCCTCTCACATGCTCGGCCGGGCTATACCACTAAGCCACGCCCCTAGGCCTGGAAGTGGTCATTTTCATCCTGGAAGGAAAGGCGCGATACATTTTGATTCCAAATGTGTTAAAATAAATATCAACAGGGGCCATCTTATGGAAAGGAATAAGGTCCACTTGGGAATACCTTTTGATATAATACAGTGGTTGTAATGGAATTATGAATAAGTTGTTTCCAGTTTCTTATTACTTTTCTAATGAAACAATTATAGATTTTTGGAAAAAGTTCAGATGCTCTTACTTCTTTCAGTGACTTCCGCGCCATCTCGCTTGTTTTTCTTGGTTCCGTCCATCCCATCACCACCTGCTGGAAGGCCAGAAGCTATGAAGGCCAAGGTCTCTCACCATTACTATAGCAAACCCAGGCCCCACTGTGCAAGCTGAGAACACAGAGCTCCGTTCCTTGACTCTTTCCCCTACTTTCCAAGAGTTGTCCTATTTCTCTCCATGAGTTTGCAGTTGATAGAATTTAAGAGTCCCACTTTGATTTCATTTTTTTCCTGTGCAGAGGAGGAGATCAAACCCAGGGCCTTGCACATGCTGGGCAAGTGCTCTGCCCCTGAGCTGCCTTCCCCATTAAGGGGCCCAGTTTGGAGTCTACTCCTTTGTCCTGGGATCTTATTTTTCTGTCTATTGGGCCAGACTGCCCTCGCTGAGAATCAAAGGGCTTATACAAGCCAGGGAGCCCTGAACTTTGTCTGACTATAAACCTCTACTCTGTGCCAAGGTAATAAACCCCTGAAGGGTGGCTGCTGAGGCGCTTATACTATTGACTGGTTCATCAGACACTTCCTGTGGTGCTTTCTGCTCTGTTGGGGACTGGGAATTAAGACATTCACGCTGCATTCGTTGAGAGTTTGGACGGGATGGAACTTGATGATTAAAACTAAAAATAGCGTTACCGGTCTCCCTGCATGGAACTTTACACTGTGGGGGGATGGAACTCTCTCTTCATGACAAAATCTGCACACGTCAGTAGGAAAAACAGATGGAGAAAATAGATGTAGGATCTACAGAGGCGGGAGAGATGCCCATCTGGGTGTTTTCTGTGCTCCCTTCGCTCTCCCTCTGTCTCAGAAGGAATAGTGTTGTCATCTTGGCTGCTGTATCCCTTAGCACAGGAGGCAGAAGCAGGGCCAGCCTCAAAGGGTGGGGGGCTGGGATCCCGAGGCTTAAACACAGGGACACACAGCAAGGACTCCCTCCCCCGGATCGGGCTATATCTGCTGTGCTCCCGGGCTGGGTTTTGGAAGGACTGAAGCCTGGGCTTCCCTGTGGTCCTCTCCCTTCCCCTCACTTTCTCTTCCTCCTGGGTTTCCTGTTGGTTGAAGGCCTGATTTTGTTCTAGAATTGGGGCAAGACCTTCCTGCTCCGACACCTTGCCTGGGGCTCTCTTCCAGCACTCTTTGCCGCTGAGGACTTTGGCATGGATCTCTGGTAGACATGGCAGACACCGTGCCTAGGCCCACAACACAGCACATTGGAAGGGAGGGGCACCCCCCAAACGCTCTCATTTCTTTTAAAAATCAGAAGGAAAACAAATCTAATCAGGATTATACCCTTTGTATCGGTGCAATTGTAGAACGTACTTTTTTCTAAGGCTTTTTCCTTAGTGGAGGAGTGGCTCCCCAGAGGCAAAAGCGTCTAGGGCCCGCAGAAGTCCTCGTGCGGCTGTAGGTGACTTCCCTGCTGGAAACCAAGGTCACGTAAGATCAGCTGGTCCACTGCCTGGTGGATTCACCATGACGAGCGCGCTCGGCTCGGGGGCTTGGCTAAATGCGCCAGCGTCTTGCTCATCACAGTGCCTTAAACGTGCTGCTCTAGGCAAGTAATGAGGCATCATGGGAAAATTCTAGCTGGATCTGGGATGCCACAGAATGTCCCTTTGGGGGGGGCTCTGTAGACAGTTTATGAGGGCGTCTAGCCCATTAAAAGCCACACCTGGCTTATGGCTACATCTGCGCCCCAGCTGTGCCTGTGGGACTTATGCCCTGCAAGCCCACATGCAGCTGGGCTCCCTGGAATCCTGTCTCAGGGCACTGCTTGCCTTTGGGAGCCCTTCTGTCTTCTCCCCACTCCCACCCATCAGTAGCTATGGAGCAGGAGGCACTGCGGAGATGAAACATTTGAGTGTGCCGGCTGCCAGCTGTTTGGGGTGACAGCACAATTGACAGGCAGTAGTATTCCAAAAAGACCTGTTTGTAACAATTCATGGAAACCTTTGCTACCCTTCAGTTCTTGCTTACTTTTGATCCTTCAGTGAAATTCACAGCTAGGCTTAGCTGGGTTTATTCCATTTGTAGGCATCAAGGCAGATGTTGGATAGTCATTTGGTAAGAAGAGTTCATTCTCCAAACAGCTAACCTGGCAAATTCTGCCTGTTCTTCCTGTCTCCAGGAAAATAACTGGCCATTTCTAGACTCTCTGTCTCTTCCCTACATTCCTGGCAGAGATTCAATTTCTACACCTAAAAGCCAAGGGTTCCCCATCTTGCAGAAGACACAAAGAGCCTGCTAAGAAGTCAGGTGTCCTGGTCAAGGGCTGGGAGCCTCTGGGGAGAGATGCTATGGACAGTGCCTGCCCAGGCAGGCTCAGAAGGACAGTTGCCTGTCCCCTGGTCTGAAGCCACTCCACTCCATAGCTGTGTGTCCCTCACCTTCAGGATCCTCTGCCAGATGACAGGACAGGCAGAGGGGGCAGGGATGCGCAGGGTGACAGATAACTTTAGATCAAAAGTAAGAGAGTCTCTCTGTAGGCGAGATACTGGATGGAAAATCACAAGGGAGGCATAAATGGGGAGCAGGACCACCCTAAGGGGCCGTAGGACTTCTCTGTAAAACACTGAGGGTGCTGGTGGGGTTTGAAGCAGACATCAGGGAAAGGAAGATCTGCTGGGTTCTTGCCTGAGCCTGCCCTTCCTGGCAGGCCTCCCCTGAGTTCATCTTCCAAAAGCAGCACATAATAGAAGCTTGGCCCAATAGCATAATTTTTAACTTCCTGGACCTGGGGGTCACTTTACTGGCACTAGGATGAGCCAATAATTCAAGTTCTCAGTCCCCAAATTATACTAAAGTACACCCACAGTTTTTTCTTAATTTCATTTGTTTATTTTTGAGACAGGGGCTCTCTGTGTAGGTCACACGGGCCTTGAATTCACTATGTAGCCCAAGCTCATGGTGATCCTCCTGTCTCAGCCTTCTGAGTGCTGCGTGGTGAGAGTCCAGGCATGTGCTGCCGTGCCCAGATTAAAATTTATTTTTAATAGACACCTAATAATTGTACATGTTTATGAGCTCCAGCATGATCATTTGACGCATGTATACCCATACTGATCAAATCAGAGTAATTAGTATTTATGTCATCTTAAACATTTATCCTCATGTGTGTGTGTGGTCTGGGGGATGGAACCCAGTCCCTCTGCACTGAACTACCTCCCTTTGTGAGATGGAGTCTTGCTACGTTGTCAAATTGCCCAGGCTGGGCTTGAGCTTGCGATCCTCTTGCCTCAGAGACATTTGTCCCTGGTGAGAGTTTGGACCCAGTGAGCTGCTCTCTTCCAGTCCCTTATGAAACGCACAGTAAGTTGTTTGCTGCAGTCCTGTGCTGTGCGTAGCCTTCCCACCTACCTGCTGCTCCCAGCCTCTGGTGAGCTCCATCCCACTCTGCCTACGGAGGCGGGAACGCATGAGCGTCAGCATTGTGACTGCCAGGGAGACCGGTGCCTGGGTTAGAAGTGCTGGAGCTTTTGTCTCAGCACCCGAGATGGGTTTGCACTTGCTGCACTTGACACCCAGGATTTTCACAGCCACAGATGGGCGGGCGGGGACACCACAGGGTTGTTTACACTTGTGGTTGCAGCTGCTAATAAAGTTAAAGGAACAAATCAATGCAGCGTAGACTTCCTGTGGTCAGGCCTGGTCTAAGAGTATGGGTAGTCCTCAGCCCGGCTACCTTCACCGGTTGGAGGAATGTCTATGCCAGTTTGCAGCAAGGCGGGTCACTCTGAGTGTCCCAGATAAATGACCAGGTTAGTGCGTAGGTTCCACAGGGCCTAGAGTAAGCAGGCCCTGCTTCTACGAGGGTCTCCGCGGCTGGACGTGTATGCTGGGTGGAGCTGACAAAGACACTTGAAAATAATCTCACTGCGCTTGTAGGGACACAGCAAGTCAGACTTTATGCTCCCCGCCAACTGCTTCTCAAGAGAAGTGAGGCAGCAGGGGTCTGCCTCCACTTCAAAAAGCGAAGTGGTAATTTGCTAGTTGGAAGCACCTGTGGTCTAGGTGGATCCGTGAAGTGGTAATTTGCATCCCAAAGTGATTTTTTTTTTTTTTTT